ATCATTATTGTTATGGAAAATCTACTATCTTCCTAGGAAAATCTAAGGCCTGTAAAAAATCTCAATTCTAACATCCTTTAATTATCTTTAGAGAGTACATATGCCAGTACATTTGCCTTCATCGGAAGTACATAGTCCTCAAGCATCAAACTACAAAACCAAAGTTTAAAAGCACCCTTAGCGGTTAAAGAAAAAACTCACATTACAAGGTTGACTAGACGCCCGACTTTGGACTCGATAAGCTTTTGTTGTCATGGCCAAGACTTGCATTGCACTGATAGCAGCAAGCTTATTGTCCTGTTGCAAGTACAACTGAGCCACTTGCCGTGAGAAAAATGCAGCTTTTCGATGATAATCAAGTGCGCCAAAAAGCCTTGCTATTTCAACATATACTATTAGCTTGTCACTGGCATCGATCAAAGATGTTGCTCCATCAGCAGCAGCTGTAAGCAACTCCACCACATCCTTAGCTAGCTCTCGCCTTACCATAATACAAGGATGAGATTACAGAGTACATATAAAAGTACATCTAAAGGGACAAAGGACATGCATAAAGGATAAGTAGAGTACCTGCAAAGGAATCTTGCCAACTTTAATGTTGCCTCAAGTTCAAAGCTTAAGGGAGAAACCCTATGCAAGATAATATTCATGATAAACAGAAGTATAACTCATGGATCAGATACGTTAAGAGAATGCGAGTCTTTCAAAGAAAAGTCATGCACCAATCTACCATACAATTGGAGCAAGCTAGGTACAGGTAGCAAGATCAATATTTATAAATTATAATAATGGAGATGGAGGGCACACAATTTTGATTTGACCACTCAATAATGTTATTACATCATGAATCCATCATACCAAGCCTCCAAGTAAGTATAGTATATATAAAAATGAATCAAATCAATGCACAACATGGGATCGGATCTTAACTACAAATGGTAAAATGCATCCATAAGGAGGATTAGGCCTGTGAAAAAGTTGTGACGGGTGTGATAACATAAATTTTATAGAATTAAACTAGTGAAAATTTGACAAAACATTGAACATGAGCTGCAGAATTGATAAAAATTAAGTTTACCTCTGAGCATTATCTTGTATAAATGATTTTTTGTAGTGTAAAATGATACTGTTGTACCGATATTTAACCTCATCCTCCAAAAGTGGATCCTTCTGGCCCATACGATCTATCTGATAACAAAAATTTAGGGACAAACGGAGCATGTTATGGGAGGAAAAACTGACAATGCCAAAAATAAACAAAATTCAGGGTAAGCATTTGCCATGGAAGTTGATTCGTAACAACTATAATGAACCCAAATTTTTCGCATAAGTCAAATGGCCCGTATTTATTCCATCTCAGATCACTTCAGCTCAATGCAGTTTAGGGCAATTGAAGCACTACAATAATTAATACGCACTTTGAATCTCAATTATTTGATGTAGCTATAAGAACACATAAAATGATGGAGTAATCAATTCTCAGAGTAATAAAAAGAATAAAGCTATATATGCCAGATGAATATGAAAATGACATCATTTATGAAATGCAATGAAAAAATCGTAGAAATCTACCTAATAATCTAAGAGGAAATTATTGAGATATCGATTTAACATTTTAATACTTTCACTGTAACAGCATTTGAAGTCCTAGATAGCCCTATAAGCTCACAAAAAGTACATTTAAGTTGCACAAAATCATCCAGTGAAGGTAAAAGAAGTTTACAATTAGATAATATTCATTCCCTTAAAAAAGAATGGTGACACACTGTAAGTGCTAAATGGGACCAAACACCCTCAGATCCATCAGAGTTGCAAATACTCACAAAAGGGGAAAAGTAAACAAAAATCGCATCAATGTAACTTGTGATAAATCTTGCACGAATTATGCTTTGTTCTTACCAGGAGCGCACAGACACTTCCTTCCATCGCCCCGGCGTACCAGAAAAAATCTGCAGTCAGTCGGGTAAGTTCCAATGCTGTAGAATAATGAGCATTTGCATCAACAGGTGATCCAGCCAACAAGCAGTAATCTCCAATGGTTTTTTGTGCACGGCCAAGCCTCCGCTTTTTTGCTTTAATCACCTGTACATTTTTCAGTGAGAAAGTCAGGCTGTTGAGAAGAAAAGCATCCATTTAGCTAAATGGCATAAGAAATCAATAAGACAATCTGACACCTAAAACCTAAACCTCCTCTGAGCTCAGACTCGCTTGAGAATCTAGAGGTGTCTTCAGGATAGTCCCACCAGATTCTGCCTGGAGAACCCATTTCTCAAATTCCATCAACAGTGAAGCAGCAATATCTTGCACCATTGTTTGCAAATGGAATTCCTGAGTTTGTCGATCAGCAGGGGGAAACAGTACTATGTTACTCCCCTTATAACTCTCTTCTTCTAGCTGCAACACAGTCCAAGTAACCCAGTTTCAACAAGTCATGTCATATAATGATATAAATGAAAAAATCATCCATGAGAAAAGAAGAAAAAAAAAGGTGCCAAATAAATGTGAAAAAGTGATAGAAGAGCTCATTTCCAGATGAATCAAACTCTACCTGAGTGAAAAAGCTGTGGTATCTAGACAATTAACATAAGACCACTACTATGGGCAATAGTATTGCAATAAAACCCCTACAACTATGAGTGCCTAGTATATGAAGAAACCACAGATTCCAGGTCTTCAGTGCTACAAAGAAGGAGAAACAGAGATTCGCACACAAACATATTAACTTTCTTTGCATCACAAATTTACTAACATAAATCCCCACCAAGCCACTACAATTACTCCACTTCCCACTATCAGCTCATCGCAGTTGGCGATCAGGTCAATGACACTAACCTGCGAGTCTCCAGGGCAGAAGGCGAAGCATCGCTGAACAAGTGAGGATGAATAGCTCTTACATGCCGCAGCGAACTGATTGGCAACAGAGAGGAGATCGGGAGAGGAAGGACAGTGGCAAAGGCCAATGACAGCAAGGATCTTGCGGTTGGACTGGAAATCCTCCCAGGGAGAAGGTGGCGCACCGCCGAGCATGAACTTAAAGCGGAGGCTTCCGGAATCCCACGGCTGGTTTGCAAATGGGGATTTCTGGTGCTCCGTGTAAAAGGAGCTGATGGAGTTTAGGGAGACGGTGTGGTGGCGGAGGAGCATGGCAGCATAGTCCTGGAAGAGAGTTGCGGGTATGGCGGCGATCGGAAGGACCGCCACTCGAATCATACTGCTGGTTTCGATGCTGGCGTCGGGTTCCATTTTCCGGAGACGAATCTGAATCAGTTGGGCGTGAAGGTTGAAGGCCAAAAGGACAGAAACACGCCCTCTTCAAGATCTATAAGAAAGTCGCTCGATTATGCTTCTTCTACAGTCGACATAAATTGCTAGCCCACATCGCAATAGTACTTTGCATTGTATTTGTCTAGTTCTCAAATTTGGGATTTGTAGCCTAAAAGTTACATTGCTCCATAGACAATTACCAAATACTAAAGAAAAAAGTNCATACTAAAATATTATCAAATTTGATGTGTTAATACTTCGTAGTAGTGCTATGTGTTAATTTTTGTTACTTAGTTCGTTTATATATGGACTTTGCCTATATTTAATTATTTGTTAGAATATTTAAAACTGCAAAATATTTAGCTTACTAATTATAAATTATATTTTCAAAATAAGTAATTTTTGCATTTATTATCAATTTTATATTATCAAATTAAATTCATATAGAAATGTATTTTCTTAGTGAATTATCTTTTAATAATTAAATCAATAAAATTATATATAAAGTCAAATAATAATTCAGTTTTTATTTTTAAGAAAATATATAAAATTTAAATAAAAATCTAAATCTATATCTATATCTATATCTATATCTACATATACATAAAGAGAATAAATATTTACTATTTATAAGCAACAAAATCTGCCAAAATTAATTGCATATCACTTTGAAAAAAATTTTGATTATTTGTTCAATAATGATACATAAAATTTTAGATACTTTTACATACGTTATATAATATTTTAGGTGTTGTTGATGACCGACTTGATTCTCTGTTAATGATCGACTTGATTTCCCAAGATTAATAAAAGAATCGATTATTTTATCTTATTAATGGTCCTTTAAATATATTTATGGCGGCCAACTTAGTTCAACTCGGTGCAACTAGACGACGACCGACTTCGGACAACTGAAGAAATAACCGACCAATCGCTTAACTCCAAGACCGACTTCACGTTAAAGACGAAAAACTGACCACGCGGACATTTCTATTCAAAATTATCCATTCAAACCAAGATCCGAGGTGATTGAATTCCAAAGCAGGAGGCGTTGTATACTTCTAATTGGACCGTCAAGGCAAAGAACAATCATTGATGTCCCCTCATAGCATTACAAGCCGATTTATTGAAGTTGCTCAACATTAAATGCGATCTGATCTACCTCGGACAAAAAGACAAAAATTACCGTACTATAAATAGCGGAATTCATGACTGTACAAAGATCTTTTTCTGCACATTGTACACGGACTATAAAAACATCTCGGTTACTTACAAAAATCGACTTCCTGTACTCTCGTGAAATAATCAATAATACAAGAATTTCACGTTTATTTTTCTTTAAATACACCTTGCTTTTTATTTATATGAGTTGTTAAATTTCATACAAGAAGTGTTTTTTATATTATTTTATAAAAGATAACTTTATATTGTTTACAACTGGTATACGATAAATTGTATCATATTTAACTTCTCATTTTTTAATTAATAATTTTTAATTAATATTGTTTACCGTCATCTTTTATTTACAATTAATATTATTTAATATTGTTTACTGTCTTACTTTATTATAAAGAGAACACCTTAAGTATTTAGGTGAAGCTTTCCGCTTTCTGTAGCTAGTTAATTTTTTACCATGTAAGGAAAAGTTACTGAAGTTACGAACTGTGTTCATTTTCGAACGACTTTTAAAATTAGTTAAGCTATATTGTGTTCAATTTCAAACACCTTTCAAGGATGGCAGACAACTTTAGGTGGCGTTCATGAAAGTTCTTTGCACCCTAAGGCCCTCATATTAGATGGCTATACAAATTGAGGTAATTGAACAAAAGAAGACTAAAATTGCAAATCCAAATAATTTATATTGTAAAGATGAATGAAACAGTATCTTGCGACCAAAAACAACCCACGGTTCAGTAACACAAACCTTTCCCCTTTGGTTAACTTCCCACTTTTTCAGGTTTCACCAGTCTCACCAGTCACCTCACCTTTAACTGCTGTGCTCACCGGTAATGGGCATTAAAATTTCTCAAGTATAAAAATCGAAGTAGATAAATTTAGAAAACCATTTTTTGCCCGATAGATTTGTTTTAACACAGATATACCAGAAGTTCCATCTTGAAGCCTTTTTTTTTTTTAGTTATTTAAAGTCAGCAACTCTCTAAGATGCCTTCTCATTCATGAATATTCACGTTTCCAAAGTTCCCCAATCTTATCCAACTATTGGAAATCCGCACCCAAAACCAACTTTTGCTGCCAATAAGTTGATTTATGTCTTCAGTTTCAGACCATCCCACAACTTTTAGATTCACCCTTTTAACTTTACAACACCTTTCCCGGCAAGGGTTTTTTAAGGCTGCTGTGCAATTTTTGGCATATCCTTTGGAGAATGTCGCTTATGATTTTCCCAAGTTCACCGTTTTCATTTTCCAACTTTGCGGACATGGGAAATTTATGGGGTGTTCTATATTTTTACTAAATAAATATTGTCGATGGTGCTTATGGTTGTTTAATGGCAAAGTCGAGCTCATTAACCCTTCGGTATAGCAAAGCCGATGCTTCCACCCTGCATTTATTATTAGAGATAAACTCAATGTGACAGCAAACTCGTAAAGTCAAAATAAAAGGGTGGCAAATGGTGAATTCGATTTACCAGCCAGGATGCACAACAAATCTTCCCCTGGAGAGAGCCCAATTGACCTATTCATGAGCTCAGAAATTAGTGTTACCTTCCTCAGAAGGTTAAAAAACCCATGAATGATGAATTCCTTTGGAATATATTAAATGGCTATCCAGCATAGAATATATTAATTTCGACCATTGTGTCGTCATCATCAAGTAAAAGACGCAACCACTAAATAATGATAACCGAGTAAGGAATGGACAAAGTACCTTATCAGTTCCAAGAGAATTTGCAACTACATGAGTAACCTTCTCGTCTATCTGGTTAATGCAAACAGCACCGAATTGTTCAGCTGTCTGCCACAGCGGATGCATGTGTGGATTGGCTTCACCAACTGGGAATACTCTGCTGAAAACAATACGGCATCCAGCAAGAATCTTCCGCTGTTCAGAAGCTAAGATGTTTCTAACATCAGCTTCATCTAATGACTGGTGTGCGAAAAAGTTTTGATGTATCCTCTCAATAACCTGTTATCAGAACAAAAACTACTCAAAACATGAGAGACTGGCACCCAGCATTACAATGATGCTAAATGGTAGTGAACAAAACTGGACGCGAACAATTAATTTCATCTGAATGAAGATAACTAAAGAAATTGCATAATGTGCTGAATGAAAGCTAACCGCCAAAGATGAGGCCAGTGTCCCATCTTCTGGTCTCTCATCATGATCAATCTCAAGCAGCGAAGGACCTGGAAGCCCAAACTGACGTCTACTGCATGGAAAATATATATACCTGAGAGAACAAAAAGATTAGTTCAATTACATTTTAGGTCATCCGTGTTACAAAAACAAGGCAGCTCATTACCGTTCCACGACTATTAAGTTCAGTTTGTTATGTGGCCAGACTCGTACAGAATCATCTATAATCACAACAGCTGACTCCATACCCAAAACCCCTTCCAAGTCCTTGCTCTTGGGAGCCCTATCATCACCATCAAATGGTTCACCATCATCACCACGCGAAATAACTCGCCCAGAAAACAGTTCTCCTTTCGGATCAAGCAATTTTGCCATCTCAGTGGCATAATACTTGTTTCCCATGGTGTACAGATGCAGCTCATAGAGTTTACTTGCCTAAAATTGGAAAATAAGAAAGCTTCAGGATGGAACAAAAAATTTGAATTGATTGGATTGAAATAACCAGATAAAATTGCTAAGTTGTCACCTTCTCCAAGAAATTCCATATTCCAGGACGCAATTTGGTCCACATTCCCATATGAGGAAACCGGAAGAGGTGCCTCTGGGGCTTCTCACGATCCTGTTCTTCTTTCTTTTTCAACATCTCATCATGCAATGGGTCAACTTCAATAAACTGGAAATACAACAGCAAAACATCATTGTTTTTTTATACTATAACTAATAACTAATACAAAAGTAGAAATTGCTTTCATGCCTTAGCTGAATTTAGAAGAGTATGATCCAAATCCAAGACAAGGCAAAGCTTGCGAACAGCAAACATTTTTTTCTGCTCTTCAAGCCTTCTAGCCCTTTCTCTCTGGATGGCAGCCTTTTGCTGGTCATCAAAGCCCTCAAACAAATGCTCAACATCACTCCACGCATTTGCATTCAATGGTCGAGGAGAGCCAGCAACAGCTGCTTCAGAAGTTACGTCATTCGAGTTTCTTAGATTGCCAGAATCAGTAATTCCCCCCTTAGTTTCCTTTCTGGCTGGATGAACTTGTACTGGTTGCAAAAATGGAATCTGAGGTGGCACTGAAGAAGGTATACATTCTTGGGATACAGACATTAAATCAGCAATGTTTCTCAAATTACTCGTAAATTGCTTAGCAATATCAGGTGGTTTCACAGAACCAGAAGACACAGACTTCTTCTCCAACTGATCCTCATGCCTTAGTGTGTTCATCTTCGATGAACTGAATGATGTATTTAGTCTTGGTTGATCAGATGCTGCAGTCATGCCCTTCAGAGGGGTGCTATTATACAGAATACGGCGTGGGTCACGAGGTTTCATTCGAACCTTCCCAGGTTCCTCCTGCAAATTACACAATTTTCAACAATTGAAACAACAAGATACTAATAAGAAAGATGCCAAAAGTAACAAATGTAATTTTCACCTAACCAACAAGTAGAAAAGAGTAAAAGAACAATAACAATGATCTGTTTCAGAGAGTGATGAGGCAGAAAGGAATCAGATTTTTTTGTTCAAAGGAAACCAAACCACAAGATCTGCATACCACAGAGACAGCTTGGGTGGGCATCTGAACTATTCCTGATGTCGATATTTGCCCAAGAACTGAGGTCAGCGGATGTACCCCACTGGTTGTTGATGGAACTTGAACTGCTCCGAGTAAAGAATTTGAGCTTGCCAGTTGGGTCATACTTTTGATATCATCAGAAGACTTGTTCTGTTCCTTTTTTAGTATATCCATCCATACGGATGGATTCACAACTATATCCCTTAACAAAGAATGTAGGGAAGTAGTTGTGCTGGAATTCGTCACTGGCAGTATTTCACTTTGACTTGTAACGGGATTACTACTGCTAACAGGGAGAGCTGTTGTAGGGATTGTTGATGTTGTACTGATGGGCGGCTGAGGTGCATTGGGACCTGATAACTCATTTCTTAGTCGTTTCAGTGCAGGACCATCCGAGACTTGCTCCTCAACTATCTTATGCTTCTGTGAACTTGGCTCATCAGAGGATAATCTTTGGGTCTTGCCACCCACATCCAAATTGGCCAATCGGAGCCTCGGGTCCCTACTTTTTGCTAAAGAAGAGGATTTCAATACAGGATTCCAAGAACTATTTACAGAACGAGTGACCCTGGAATTACTACTTTCCGGATCTGCTAAGGCTTCCGTAGGTGCAGCCGAAGAAACCACTCGCTGCCCTGAAAGTGTTGTATTCACAGCAGGATTAACTTTCTGAGTAATAAAACTGGAAACTTCGCCGCTTATTTCACCATCCACAGTAGCATCACCCTCTTCTGAAGGAGTTGGACTAGGAAGGTTGTCGCTCATAAAAAAGGAAGTACTGCCAAATTTCTGCTGATAACTGGAAACAGCTTTAACAGCATCAGTCTCATAAGGGTGCATCACCAGATTTTCTCTTGCAAGAGCAGTAGTACATCTAGGGATAGGCCACTCAGGTTTCAGCAACCCATGTTCAAAAGGCAAGGGGGTGGAGAGGTCTCGTGTAGGTGAAGGAAGACTGTCTGCATCATGATCCTTGTGGAGGTCTAGCAGTGGAAGAGCCATTCCTTTTTGCCTAGAATTCACTAGGCCTGATTTTAAATATTGCACAGAAAAGTTGCGATTTGATTGATCTAACGTCCCGGTAGATTCAGATACAGTTCCATGCGTCTTTAGGAAAGACGAACTGTTATTAGGCTTCAAATTTATATCAGCTTTAACTGCTTCAATCCTTCCATTGTTATTGTCATTGCTTAAAGGATCAGCAGAGGACTCCACGGAAACCCGAATACCCTCCAACTGCAACAACGCACATTTCTTAATGAGACACTGAAGTTACAATATTCCTAAGGTTGAGGTAATGGGTGAAAAAAATTAGGTAAAAAGAAAAATCACACCTCTCTCAACTGCAGGGAGGAAAAAAGAGGTGGCTCTAAGCTTATTACTTGCGCGACCAACCTGAAGCATATTCACAAGGACGAGACGGTCAATAATAGAAGAATGATGTGCTGAAAAACAATGAGAAATCAAGAAACGTAAAGAATGCAGAATAAACCTTAATAAAACAGCTTTATTTTGCTCCTTGAGTATCACAGTCATGGAATAAAACACCTGCACATACCAACAAATACAAACTTAAGCCAAATATCCTGGAAAACTGGAAATAAACAGAACTATGGACAATGCAGGCTAGTAATCAAGATTTGATTGTATATCCTACTGAATAGAGAGTCTGAATTGCAGCTAATAACAACTGAACAAGAGTGTCTTTCTCAGTAAAAGAACCCTCCAAAACAATTTTCTGCAAGCTGTCGGCTGTCATCTCCAAACTTGAACATACTCTATCATAAGATCTACACAAACACGAAAGGTGTCAATTAACCAGACATTATTATCTACGTTTTCACACACATTAACAGAACATCAAATTATCTGAATCTAACGTACTTTTGCTCCATAGCCACATCCAGATTCTCAAGCTCTTCTCGGATCGAATCAACACGTTTGCTTCTCTCCTGTACTTCCAGCTCCTTCACGTCACCTCCCACCACATTCTTAACTTCAGAATTTGAATCCATATTAACGTCAATTGAATCAGAATCCAAATCAATCTCTCCCTCCTCCAATTCACCTTCCTCCTTGTCAATGTCAATCACACACTTACCATCGTTCTCTCCAGAAATGTTAACACTACTAGAATCATTAGTACCATTACTATTATCGTTAGTACCATCCTCCATCATCACAAAAACATCACCTAATGGCTTGTTATTGACAGCCTGTGCCCAAGCCAAATTATACAGACCCGAATAAGAAGTCTTTGAAGCAATTTGATACTTAAACAGATCTCTCATCGTCCAAACCCTAGCCCCACTTCCACCACCACCACCACTATTATTATTATTATTATTATTATTATTATTATTATTATTATTATTATTATTATTATTATTATTATTATTATTCAGTGGCTGTGGGTGAGCTGGAGATTGCGGCAGTGCTTGCTTAGTAGAAAAATCTTCTTCTGTAATTTCTTCAATGGAGGCTGAATCCGAGATCTCGCCTTCCTCTATGTCGTGAACCTCAACTTGTAGTAGTTGCTGCTCTTTACAATCCTCTTCCATATTTAGAAAGGCTGTATTCTTTCCCTGAAATTAAACAAATTAAATTCAAATTGCCGTAAGTGTCCGTAAAAAATATATAAACAACAACAACAACAATCACGGCAATTGCCACACCAAATCAAGAAACTAAACACAATGGATTTGTGCAGATCAAATTGAGGAGTGCGTAGCACGAGGGAAGTCTGTCTAATTTCTCACATAACTTTGAAAAGGAAACTATGTGAAAGCATTAAATAAGCCCTAAAAAATCCGAAAGGCTGATCCTAGCACCAAATCCAAGCATCTTCAGCATACATGTCACCACGGGTGAGCTGCCCACCAAAAACCCACTTTTGGGGGTGCGGTCGGATTACATGGACGAGTTCAAAACTCAAAATACAAGCCATATGGAAAGACACAACATGTATGCAAATCCAAAGTCCAAATCCACCATCAAAGCAAATATAAACGCACAAAGCCATACAAATCATCCCTAATTAAAACATATAATATGCAATTTTCCAAAAAACAAGACCTCATTGTCAAATCAACCCTAATTGAGTTAACTTACAGCAAAAAACTAAAAAATCAGCCGCTGGACTTGGTGGGCACCAGGAAGATGCGGTGTCCACTGGCCGCCGCGTGCTGTCAGATTCAGAGGCGGCGACTGGTGCTCGGGTTGCTGGCTTGCTGATGGTGGGCGGCCCGGCGGAAGTTGCAGATGGCCAGGACCGGAATTTGCTGAGCCAGAGAGTACCGGGAGTCTAGGGTTTTCTTTCTTGGGTCGTGATTCCCTTTACACTTGAGTTTTGTTTTGGTCTTTCAATCTTCGTAATCACACAGCCACGCAAAGGACAGAGTAGGACACGGTTTATTTATTTATATGTTGTTTCAATGTGAAACAGTGAGCTGCTCTTTAAATCCTCAAACCAAGGCGGACTAGGTAAGTTGAGTTGGTATGGGGTGGGATTCGATATGAATCTAATTTCAAAAATTAATATTTTTAATTCAATCAATTTTAACTCAACTTCAATACTATCAATATTTTAAATATAATTAAGTAATATCAATTAATCATTTTTAAACATCGCATCAACTTTAATTCTTACTCACATAAGTTACAACTAACAATCACTTCAGATTATATTTCTCCTACTTTTACATCATATCAACTTTAATTATTTTATTTTTAATATTATTAACTAAAAATCATACTAACAACTAACTAGGACTGTAAACGAATCGAGCCCAGCTCGAGCTTAAGGTGTTCGAGCTCTTCACGACCCGAGCCGAGCTCATTAAATAAATGAGCCAAAAATCGAGCTCGAGGTCGGCGCGTTAGCTTTAACGAACCGAACTATAAAAAATTATATAAAACTTCTGTTTTTGTGCCTTATCGAGGCGAGTTGTGGTCGGCTCATTAGCCAAACAAGCTTTAAATGAGCTCGAGCTCGGCTCGTTAAGGCCTTGAACTCGAGCCTTCACGAGCCGAGGGCCTTAACAAGCCGAGCCGAACCAAACTCGTTTAATTTAACAACACTACAACTAACCATACCAGTTTTTTAAAAATTAACTATAGTTTAAAAAAAACAACACAATTAAATCAAATTTATATCCAATCACACCATATAGTTTTAAGACAAAAAGATAAATATATGCTATAAAATTTATATTTTTATTTACATTATTTTATTTAAGTTAGTGGAAATTACTAATTTGATAGAAAAAATTAAACTACATAAATAAGAGCTTCAATTTTTTNNAAAAAAAACTTGAAACATAAAGTTGATTAACAGTGTGTTTGGTAAGCACCATAGTCAGTTTATAGCTTGTTTGGTTTGCTTATAAGCTTTATGTATAAAACGAAGCTTGGTTTAGTTTGACAAGCTCTCTTAAAAAGCTCGAGCTTATCTCATAAGCATCTTTGGGTAGCTTTTGAAATAAACTCGTTGAAATTTTTATTTCAGCTAATTTCACTAAACATTTTTATCATATCATCTAGTTTTTCAGCTATAAGTCATAAATTATCAAATATAAGCTCGAATTTGGGCTATATTTGGTAAAACTTAGTTGATAAGCTAGCTTATAACTGACAAATTAGCTTATACTCCATCCTATTTTTAATAAATATCATTTTTGAGAAGTTGCACAGTAATTAAGATTTGTTTTTTCCTATAATAACCCTCATTAATGAGGATAGAGATGGATGTTTTGAGAAAATATAAAGAGTGAATAAGAAAAGACGTAGTATATTTATAGGTTAGATGATGGTAATAATGGAAAAATATGTACAAAAGATCCATAACATCATTTATTTAGTTAATTGTTGATAAAGTCAAAATGACGTTTAGAAAAAATAGGAGGTGGTAGCTTTTAAGACTATGTTTGGTAAACCTAGTTGATTAGCTAGCTTGTAGCTTTTAGTGCATTTCGAGCTTATAGTTGATAGAGTATGACTTGTGACTTAAAAACTAGCTTATATGATAAAAGTGTTTGATAAAATTTGCTAATAAAAGCACCCACAATACATTGGGTCTAATTTTACATATGTGGTATATAAATTGACTTAAGTCCTGAAGGCATGGACAAACTCAAGTAAATAAAATCCAAAAGCTATTTAGTACAACAATAAAATACGGTCTAGAATACTTATCGACCAATAGAAATGCTCTAATATTTAATATGTTTAACATATTCAAAGAAAAAATAAATTAAGAATAAATGTTGACTGTTCAAGTTTGTACGTGGGTCCAAATTAGACCCAAGAGTTTATTGGTCTCTTTTTTTATTGCCACATAAGATAGACCATGTCCATTTTTAATTGCATTGGGAGACAAATATTTATAGACTGAGTCTATTTTCTACATCCCATATGATATTTTTTTAAGAGACTCAATGCATTGTGGGTGCTCTAAGCTAGCTGACATAAAAACTTCAATTGGCTTATTTGAAAAATTACCCAATAAAGCTTATGAGATAAGCTGAACTTTTTGAAAAAGCTTATCATATCAAACAAAGTTTGTTGGTATATATGAATTTTACAAACTAATTAAATAAGCTATATGTAAGCTTATATGTTTACCAAATACAGTCTTACTTATATGCTATCAATTAATTTATCAACTATCAGCTAGCTTGTCAACTAGTTTTAGAAGACATATCATAAGAGCTAATGTAGCTCATTAAAAGATAAAAAAAAAAAAAATGCAAGAGCTCACTTTATGAAACTATATATATTGAAAGAAGATGGTCAATAAATCATTTGTGTAAAGTTCATAAAAAAACTGAGTCAACCCATATGACTTACTACTTATGGATATTGTTTAAAAAATCCAAAATTTTGTTTGTTTAAAAAATCTGAAATTCTGTTCATTTTAAAAAAATCAAAATCATTCCATATTTTGCTCAAAATTTGTTCACGCATCTTCAAGAATCCTAATTCTATATTTTGAGCACAAATTATCCACGCGTTTTGAAGAATCCTAATATTGTTACGGCTCTGAAAAATTTAGTATACATCTTATCCCAAATTTGACAGCCGAAAAATTCCTTTTTAATACAACAAAAAATTTGTTAATTCGTTGTTAATTTACGGCCTATCACATGTTTGCCAATTTTTTTGTTAATTATAGTTGATTAATTAATGATAACAAGCATAACTAATTAGATCACACAATCAAATTTGAAAGATATTCAATATCACATAACTCTATTTATTCGATTTTTTTTTGTTATTTTATAAAATCGTTCTTTCTTTGATGTATGTTGCAAACCCGTTTTCTTCCCCCTTTGCATCTGAACACATTTACAAGAATATTAGTACTGCTGTAAAAGAATATTAGCACTGCTGAATAAACGCATAAAATAAAATGTATCACATATAAAAATTTTCAATATCACATGCCAAATAAATAGATTAAAAAATTATAACATTAAAAAATTATAACCCAAACTCGCAATTTACTTTTAACCCATATCAATGTCACATGCCAAATAAATAGATCAAAAAATTAGAACCCATAGAATAAAAAATTATAACCCAAACTCAACCGATTTGAGGCAAATTACTTTTAACACATGCCAAATTATATTATCCGTAGTGACTTTGCAAAATTTAACTTGATAAATATAATATTTTTATGTAAAATATGTAAACTATCCGAAGTGATTGCAAAATTTAACTTGATGAATATAATATTTTATGTAAAATATGTAAACTTTAAATATGCTGTTATATATAATAGTGTATATTATTATACACTATTTAGGTGACTTCACAGATATTTGAAGCATAATATAGAATATTTTAGATAGTTTTAACATATATAATAAAAGATTTTTTAGGTATTTTTAATAGGCCTAATTGCACCAAAAACTCCAACCTTTAGCTTTATTGCAAATAAAGCTCAAGTTTTTTAAGTTTGCCATTAAATACCTGACCTTTTTATTTTGTTCCAAAAAAAACTCCGATGGATTTTCCGGCTGCCACTTTGATGAGCTGGCCGGCCAGATGCTGATTTGGCAGGTAAAAACTGACGTGGCTCTCCATTAAATTAAAATATATAATCTGATATTATACTTAATTTCCACTTCATCAAATTCCAATTTCTCAAATTTTCTTTCGTTCATTTGTCGAGCCCTAATCCCTAACCCATCGATCGAGCAGAAATCTCCTTCCCTCACAGAAGCTCCAAACTTTGAACAATGTTCGATTCTTCTGGCACGAGCTCAAACAATCGGTACTTCCGAACACCTGACAACCCGATTGAACTGATGCTATGTGGTCATGGTGTTGAAGCTGATGTGTTTACATCGATGACAAATCAAAACCTAGCAAGAAGATTCTGCAAATGTCGCCTCAAAAAGGTAAAAATTTCACAAATTGTTGCCTCAAATAGGCTAATCTTGTGTTTTTGGCATCATGAGTAATTTTGCTTTTTGAGGGGTTATTTGTTTACAAGATTAATGTATATCTTGTGTTATACAATGCTGCTGCTGGTGAACATTTGATTTAGTCTAAAATTATATGAATGAATATATGTATAAGTTAATATATATTCATCATTCTCGTGATTAATTAGATTTTTCAATTAAAGGGAAGTCTGCATATTTGAAGATGACAGTTTAAGTTATATGTTTATTCTTCTTATCTTTTCACCAGAGTTTGGAATTTGCTTGTTTGTTCAATTAATTTTTTCTGATGATACATGTAACTATAGCTGTTTGGAGAAGGCTTTGAGTGTGATGGTCTTGTTAATGGTCTATGGACTTATAGTGTGATAATACTATAATTGAATATTTAGCTTATGTCTACACTTCCGTTTGATACAAAATGTTTTTTATTTTTCTTCACAAATGTCACTACTGAAGCCTATCACAAATATGACATATTGGCTTGTAATGTTTTGAATGAATTTAACAATCAATTACTTTTTTTCAATCCAACTCGGGTTGTGGCATGTTTGTTTGGATCGATCCGGAATTGCCACCCTTTCAAAAGGTTTGTTTTGTTAAGCTTAAGGCAGAAAGGGACAAATTGCAAGAGCAAATAAAGTGCAAAAATGTAATGGAGAAGCTTCTTTCAGAGAGATTGGAGTTAAAAGATGCTGAGTTAGGTAAATTACAAATGGAGAACAATGAGTTGGTGAAGAGGTTGGACCCTGTTGTCTGTAAAGCTGAAAGTTTGGAGAAGAAACTACAAATTATGAAACTTGTACTCTTCTTCATTGTTGTCTTTATTCCAATGTTACTTTTGTTTAAGTACAACTAGACTATGAGATTTGTTGTATGTTGACTTGTGCACATGCTTATTTTGTACTATCTTGGTGGGAGTTTGGATCTTTTATCTTGCCATGTATTTCTTCTTACTAAGTACTATTTTGGTGGTCTTTGAATCCCACTTGTATTTGGTTTTGTTTCCACTTGAGGTGGTGATGACTTTGTACTTTATGTTGGAGTTGTGGAATGAAAGTTTCATCATTTGAGAAAAAAATAAAGAGTTGTAACATTTGGTTTCTTCTGATCAGTATGTGTTAGCATTTTGGAAAACTTATGAAGATTAAACTCTTGGTGAATCAACATGTAAGATAAAAGATACACCAATAACAAAAAAAGGACACCAATAGAATAATAATTGCAGCCTTAAGCAAAATAAAACAGTACTCATTGTTTTAACCAAAACAACTGTCATACAAACAATTATCCAATCCCACACTATGACAACAAAAGATAAAAGAACATCACAAACCTTTTTTTGATTGTTCTATCCAAAACAAAGACAAAAGAAGATCACAAATAATTGTTTCATTGTTCTATCCATCCAAAACAAAGACAAAAGAAGATCACAAATAATTGTTTCATTGTTCTATCCATCCAAAACAAAGACAAAAGAAGATCACAAATTCTACATGGCTTCACTTTCTAGCCTTGCAAAACATTTTCTTGTACACAAATTTTCTCACTTTCATCTCTTAGGCCGGTTGTAACTCTCCTTACATTTGAGCTTGCACCAATTGATGTTGAAAGTGTTGATGGTATTAAGACATCATTCACATGAGCAGACATCTGAAATACAAAATAGATATATTAAGACATCATTCCCATGAGCAGACAGCTGAAAATATACCTAAACACAAATAGGAAAAAAATACACTTAATAATAATATAACATGCCTGTGACATGGTGCTTGCAACAATTGGTGTTGAATCAATTGAGGGAATGAAGTGAACCTTCCTATTAGAAGACATCTGTAATACAAATGAACATACAATCTTATTGAGCATATTTAAGATACAAAAAAATTATTTGACATGAGAAAAAGAGAGATGTTCATACCCTCAGATAACTATTTCCTGTTTCTTCACATTGTAGAAGACCAAATCCTTTCCTAGCCTATCTAATATCAAAATTTAAATTAATGGATGATTTCTTTCTCAATTACACAAAAACTAAATAAATTTTGTTAATAAAGTTTACCATTGCCCTCTGTTTCTGAACAATTGAACCATGTTGATGGTTAACATTTCTTCTAGCTGGTAACTTAGTTCCTCTCTTTGGCTTCATAACAGGAACTCCAGATGAAGATGGAGATTGAGTGCTTTTCTTTGGCCTTCCTCTCTTTTTCTGCCAAGATGAAAAGAAAATGATAGTATACCTTATATTATATATTTATATCAAATTCAGTTTGGATTATATAAAATATAATTACCTTTTCTTCTTTCTGAACTGATTCTTTTGTACAAGTCTTTTTGTTGTGACCTTTCTGAAGACAGTTTTGGCATGTCATTTGGAGCCCAAATCTCTTCAACTTAGTGGCAGATTTTCTCTCTTCTTCTTTTATTCTTAGGCCTCCCAAATCTCTTCAGAAAGTCATTGTATGCTTTTTCATCTTCAGCTTTCAAATCCTCTAGAGCAATGTTGTATTCTGCTCTATGTGTGCTGAGCACCAATCTCCAAAATAAAGACTTCAACACTTGGCCCTTGAACTCCTTTTTCCAATTCATATAAACATGCCTAGCACAATTTCTATGCTCAGCATGTGGTGTTAGTTCCTCAATTGCATTCATTAACCCCTATGCATAGATAAAACATAAATATTAAGTAAAAATAAATAAACAATTACAATAAATAAATACAAACAATAAAACTAATATAATTAGTGATATATATTGGTGTAACAGACCAAAACAACATAATTTGGGCAAACACATAATAAAAGTATACATGGTACATTTGGTATCACCACAAAATAATGAAAGCAACTACAGAATAATTAAAACAACTACAATAGTTATTTGTTTTATATCACTACAGAATTTATGATTTCAAAATAAATATGTGTTGATATTTATTATAGGCCAAATATATATAGATGAACCTTAGCTTACCTTTTGTTGGTCACTGACAAAAGTCATACCAAGGCCATCACCAATCCCTAAATCCTGAAATAAAATGGATAAAAACCATTTCCAACACGCTTCATTCTCAGCTTCAACCACTGCCCAGGCTACAGGATACATTTGATTGTTTCCATCCTTTGTTGTGGCACAAAGCAGTGCACCGCCTAAAAAGGTCTTCAGAAAGCTACCATCAAAGCCTAAGACTGGCCTACAACACTGTAGAAAACCTTTCCGAAGAGCACTAAATCCAATGTAGAAGGATTTGAACACAAAATCTCCTTGCAACTGGAACTCAAATCTTTCATCCCTATCAATTCTTTGTAGCTCAGCCATATAACTTCTAAGACATGCATAATGATCAGAAATGGAACCTCTCAACATTTCTAAAGCCTTCTATTTCCCTCTATACAAATTTCATTTAGTTGGTTGAACCGCATAATTCCTTAATATGTCATCTGCCAATTGAGAAATGGTGAAGTTTGGATTTCTCCTAAAAGTCTCAATGTACTTTCTAGCAATCCAATCTCCAGTCAATTGCTTGGTGTGCACATCTCTGTGGCATCTATGTTCACGATTCAAATGCTTAATTGCAAACCTACCCTCAAACATAATGGGAGAAGCATACAGACTCCAAGGGCAGCCCCCATCACACTTTGCATGTATTTTCCTTTTGTTGGTTTTGACATTCCTTATGTTGTAATCATTGACAATGGCAATCTTCTGTATAGCTCTTCTAACCTGTTCTGCAGATTCAAACCTCATTCCAAGCACAAATTCAATTTTTTTGTGATCACACTTGGGATCATAAAAAATCCTCTTCTTTTTACTCCTAGGCCTTCCCTCATTTACATCAAACCCATCACTACTGGAAGAGTTTGATATTACTGCAAGGTCAAAGTCTGAACCTTCAGAGTTTAATTATGCTTCATTATTCGCAAGTTCCAATTGTAGTAAATTTACAGCCTCATTGATTGGAGCAGCTCTTTTATATTGCTTGAAGTTCCTCCTGGCCACAATTCTTTCTTCATCATCTGAAGCAAGTTCATGCTCAGACAATCCATCATCAGATGAAATCTCATCTACAGGCACATAATCATCATCTTCACTACTATCATAAAAGCCTTTCCCCTCTGTTGTGTCATTCCCTGTGGGCATCATCACAATAGGCTCATCTTCATGAGCCTGGATTTCACAGAAATTGTCATCAACCTCATTTTTTTCCAAACAGTTATCAACATAAACATCAATGATCTTCTCCCCTTTCTGAAAATATCCTATAATCTCCATTATTTCATCATCATTATCAACCAATTTCATAGCATTAGCCCCTTCAACCCCAAGAACTTTATAATATAACTGACCCCAGCTTGTGTATCCTAGGTTTTGCACTTCATCCTCTCAGTCCAGATAACCAAATCTATCGACATCTATCTCATGTAAAATCTTAAAACCAAATCCATCATATTCCATACCTTGTCCGGTCGTACTAAATTTTCCACCATTGTTCAAGTAAATAGAACACTCCCTGCAATATAGAAAAATGGATATAATTAGAGATGCATACAATTATTTAAACTCAGGTCGAATTCTTAAACTCCTGGAATCCTTACAATTTAGAATATGAAATAAATTAATTTTAAAAAATTAACCAATTTCCCAAAATCTTTACAAAAATTCCCCAATTGGAATACCTAATTTTTGCTCAAAGGGAATACCTGTTCTCCATGGATGACAAAACCAATTCTTCGGACCTTTGAAATGTTTGCATTATTCCAGCTTCTGGAATTTGGGAAGAGGCTCGATCGGTTTAGGACTTCATGAGGGCATTAGGGTTCTTTGAATTTTTTTCAATTTTTCCAGCTTCAGTTTCTAATTTTTTTTTTTTTTGGAGGAGTTCTCGATCTCGATCGATTTAGGATTGATTTACGATAAGGGTTTCCGACATTGTTCAAAGTTTCTAGCTTCTGTGAGGGAAGGAGTTTTCTGCTCGATCGTTTAGTTAGGATTAGGGCTCGACAAATGAAAAAAAGAAAATTTGGAAAATTGGAATTTGATGAAGGGCTTAATGGCGGGAAAATACACGACCTTTACGTGTTTGGCCATTTAATCCCAACCTTTAGACCTTGGCAAATAAATACACGACCTTCACATTTTTGGCAACCCGATACCTGGTTTGGTCTGCCGTTAACGGAAATCCTACGTGGCTTGTAAAACTGACGGACACACCAAAAGGGCGTCCCAGTCAGCGCCGAGGTGGCATAATCGGGTAGTATAAAAGCCAAATGGGACTCTAAATTGCCCCAAAATCTTCATTCACGAACGAACCCTAATTTCCCCAAAAATCGCCCCAATTTTGCGCTGAAATGTCGACGAGTTCGAGCTCAAATTCAAGGACATTCAAATTAGAATGTGGTTGTGGAGACGAACCAGGTTTATTCACATCAAATACCGACCTCAATCCTTGTCGTCGATTTCGACGTTGCATCAACACAGAGGTGAGTTCGATTTCCTGTTGCAATTTGGTGTTTTGATTATGTTTTGTGTCGATATGAGTGCAATTATGCCGATATGACTGCAATTTGGTGTAGTTCTTGTTATTTCATGCGTGGCCGATCTGAGATGAATTGTCCTGTTCAATGTGAAGTGCGAGTTGAATTTGAGGAAATGATCTCAGTTTGAAAATACTAGTTGCTTTACGAGCACAGTTTGAAAAATTTTGGTTTTATGACATGAACTTAGTTTATGGGTTTTCAGATTATGTGATTTGTTCTAATCCTTGCTTCTTTGTAAAAGAAACCCTGTAGATACTTTTCTTGGATTGATCCGGAGCTTGGACCATTTCAGAAATCATGTTTTCTGAAACTGAAGGCTGATAAGACATTGTTGGAGGAGCAATTAAAATGCAAGGAAGTCACTGTAGTAGCAATGGCTGAAAGGGTCTCATTGAAGAATGATGAACTATTGTATCTTAAATCCAAAGCAAATGACTTGGTGGAGCAATTAAAATGCGAAAAAAATACTGCAGTAGCAATGGCTGAGAGGCTGAAAATGAAGGAGGATGAACTTTTGTGTCTTAAATCCAAAGCAAATGACTTGGAGGAGCAATTAAAATGCGAACAAAATATTGCAGTAGCAATGGTTGAGAGGCTGAAAATGAAGGAGAATGAACTTTTGTGTCTTAAATCCAAAGTAAATGACTTGGAGAAGCAAGTACAAGTCTTGTCCAAGAGAAACATCTTCAGAAACCGTATTGTGTGTGTGTCAGTTGTGTTATTTGTTGTTTTGCTTTGTTCCTTGGGTAAAGGGGAAAATGGTTTATTGATGTTGAATTAGCTTTAAGTTTTTGTAACTTCATCTCGGTTATGTATTGACAATGAACCATTTATGATGCTGTCTTTTGGATACTTTGCAGTTGTTATGGAATTTAATTTTTTGAATCAGCTTATGTTTTCTGTAAGTTTATTTTAGTGTATGTGTATGTTGGTGCAATATATTGTATGTTAATATTGACAATGATCATTTTGGCTTTTTTTGGTTTAGGTTTATTGGGGCTGTATTTAACTTCACAACCATGTTAGGGTCACACATCTGTGTACAAGCATATTAAATACCAAACAACTTGAAAATGAAGACATGTCTACTAACAAAAGTCTTGATGGACAATTCAAAGTCAAATCCAATCCAAATTCCACAACCAAAATCATCAAATCTAATCCAAATTCAGAAATTACAACTGCATCTCCAATCCAACAACCAAAAACATGAAAAAACAAGGCAGTTCATAAACAGCATCCCCAAAACCTAACAAGTACATATCCATGACAACTAAGGTGAAAAGTTGCAAACACTCTCTTGGGTCCCCTGATCTGTTGGGCAATTCTTGGATGTTTGTTTCTTTTGTCCATGTGCTGATCTCTTGGGTCTGTTGTTAGGTACAAAGTTAACCCTACTTTGCCCTGGCATCTGATTAAGCAGTGGTGGAACAAATTAAGTAAATTTCTGAAAAATGCATAACAAATTGGCACAGGGAAAAATATGGTAAACAATGATGCATACCCTCATATAAATGTCTCCTGTCTGCTCAGAGACCATCACACCATATCCTTTTTTGGCCTAAAGAATGAAAACAACAATAAGTTAACTAAACTGACATTTAGCTTTATGAAAGAAAATAAAGTTAGCTTTTTTACCATTGCCCTATCTCTTGCTCTAATAGCTTGCACAGTTTGAGATGATTGTCCAACACTTCTGATCCTGGCACTCTTCCTTGTCTGTTGCATAGCAGCTGTGGCTGATCTTGTAGTTGGGGCTGTTCTGGTTGCTCTTGTGACTGTGGTTTCTCTTCTGGTTGTGGTTGCTCTTGTGGATGGGGCTTTTGTTGGGGCTTGTGTTTGTGGTGCTGTTGGTGCTTGTGTTTGTGGTACTTGTGGTGGTGCTGTTGGGGCTTCTGTTTGTGGTTCTTGTGGTGGTGCTATTGGGGCTGTTGTTGGGACTGGTGTTGGGGTTGTTGTTGTGACTGGTGTTGGGTTTGTTGGCTGCCAATCTCTTGCAGAAGACTCCACATGTTGCTCCCTTGTCCTTGGTCTCCCCCTCTTTTTCTGCAATTTAACAAGAAGGATATTATCATAATGCATCATAAATGTTCATAAATAAGCACTAACAAATAAACTCACTCTTGTCTGTGCAGGAGCAGCTTCATTGGGGCAAGTCCTGATGTTATGCCCAATTTTCTTGCATTTTTGACAAGTCATTTGTAGTCCAAATCTCCTCAGCTTAGTGTCACTCTTGGCCTCTTCTTCAGGTGCTCTTCTCCTTCTTATTCTAGGTCTACCAGGCATCTTTTTAAATGGAGGTGGCTTGACAGTGGACCCAGATGCATCAGGCCACATTTTAGGTCCATTTAATGGTTCAAGACAAAAGGAGTATGCTCTCAAATTTCTTTCTACAGAGAAGTATGGGCTGACAAAATCCACTACATCCCTCTTCATGTACTGAATTGCAGAACAAGCATGGATACATGGTATACCAGATATATCCCAGCTTCTACAACTACATGTCATGGACTTCAAATCAACTACAAATTGATCATCTGATATGGCAACTTGAAATTTTTCACCTACTGCAGGTTTGGTCACACACAACCTACTACTCAACTTATGTTCCTCAATTTTTTTCCTTATCCTAGGACATATTGTGTCTTTTACTCCACTGGTCAACATAAGTTTGTGATGCTGCCTTTCCATTACATAAGATCTAATACTCTCAAGCATGTCAACAATAGGTTGTTTCCTTGCCTTCACTATGGTACTGTTGAAAGTTTCACACACATTATTAAGTATCATATCACATTTTGGATTCTCAAGGATAAAAGCTTTACAGAACCTGACATTTTCCAGCTTCATGAATTCCTCATAAGCCTCTTTACCCACTACCTTCATCTCTTCAAGTGCCTCCTTATAGGCTGCCTTGTATGTGCTATGCACTACCCTCCAGAAACAGCTTTTAAGTGCACTGCCTTTGTGAGATTTCTTCCAGTTCATGTACACATGCCGTGCACAGTTTCTATGTTCTGCATGTGGTGAGAGATCCCTTATAGCAGCAATGAGTCCCTACATAATGAGTTAAAGAAGAACAAATATTAGAGACAAGACAAATAAAGAAATATATATATAAATGCCTGTAATATGATTCAAAAACTAACCTTTTGTTGATCACTAATAAATGTCCATCCAAGTCCATCTGATATCCCCAAATCTTGAAAAAGAATATCTAGAAACCATTTCCAATTGCTCTCATTCTCAGAATCCACAACTGCCCATGCCAAGGGAAATATCTGGTTGTTCCCATCCTTGCCAACAGCACACAATAAAACACCTCCTAAAAAGGTCTTCAAGAAACACCCATCAAAACCAATTATTGGCCTACAGCCTTGCAAGAAACCTTGTCTGAGTGCACTAAAACCAACATAAAAACCTTTGAATACACTGCCACTCTCCAAGACAAGCTGAAATGTGCCATTTCTATCAACCCTTTCAAGCTCTGCAATGTACCTCCTTAGTTTTCCATAGTGCTCCTCCTCTGTACCTCTAAGCAGTTCAAGAGCCCTAGTTTTTGCTTTGTACAGTTTCCACCTAGAGGGTTGCACACCATATTTTTCACTGATAGAATCCTCTAAGTCAGAAATTTTCATCTTAGGCTTCTTCCTAATCATAGGTAGATACTCCCCAGCAACCCATGAAGCAGTTGCTTGTTTAGTGTTCAAGTCCCTATGGCAGCTATGGGTATTGACAAAGGTCTTGATAGCCACACTACCTTCACCTTTTATCAGACTAGCATAAAGCCTCCATGGACAACCCACTTCACACCTAGCTTCAACCTGACTTGAACTACTTCTGAAGAAACTTATGTTGCAGCCATTATATATTGCATAACTCTGAATTGCCTTCTTACATTGTCCAATGCTTTCAAACCTCATCCCAAGCTGAAATTGAAATGTCTGCAGATCCCCCTTACCATCATAAACAATTTTTTTTTTCTTAGGCCTTGCTTTATCATCATCATCATCATCAAAACCCTCACCACTAGATGAATCAGTGTTCACATTCCCTTCAGAATCTTCATATTCTGACTCAATATCTCTTGCAGGTGTAATGCTGTCATCAGCCTCATGATGTGCAGATGGCTGTGCACAGGAAATGTTTGCATCCCCAGCATCTTGTGACTTTCTAGAGTTTAAAACTTCTCTCCTGGCCTCAAGATACTCCTCATCATCTGTCCCTAAATCTTCCTCAGACAAACCATCATCACTTGAAGATTCTCCAGATGGTTCATAGTCCTCATCCTCACTTTCATCTAAAGAAAACTCAACCAGCTTGTCACTAGTATCAACCAGCTTGTCACTAGTATCAATCAGCTTCTCACTAGTATCCTTTGCTTGATCTACCTCAGCAACTTTAGATACCCTATTCCTAGATCCATTTTCTTGTTGACACACAGCAACCCCACACGGTTTCTTTAAATGTTCAGTTTGCACATATATTTCAACATATCTTTTGTTTCCCTGCATTTGACCCAAACAGTCCATAACACCAGCATCATCTGTTATATCTTTAAATTCACGTGTTGTCCGATGCTTATAACATATTCTACCCCAGTTTTCATATCCCAACTTCGTTATTTCATCTTCAATGTCAAAATAACCTAGCCTATCTGCATCCAACCCAGTAACCGTGGCAACTTTATCACCATAATACGCCTCATACCCATCGACAGTCACAAATCTACCCTTGTGATTGATAAATAATAGAAAGAAATCGCTGTAAATTGAAAAAATCGGAAAAGATTAACAATCGAACCCTACAAAATATAAAATCAAATTAAAGATTTCAAGAGAGAAAGAGCAGTTACCTTGCAACCATGACGTCAAATCGATGATATGGAAGACACACCCTCTGAATTCTGGAGCAAATCGATGATATGGAACACACACCCTCTGAATTTCCGGGCAGTTCAGCGCAAAATTGGGGCGATTTTTGGGGAAATTAGGGTTCGTTCGTGAATGAAGATTTTGGGGCAATTTAGAGTCCCATTTGGCTTTTATACTACCCGATTATGCCACCTCGGCGCTGACTGGGACGCCCGTTTGGTGTGTCCGTCAGTTTTACAAGCCACGTAGGATTTCCGTTAACGGCAGACCAAACCAGGTATCGGGTTGCCAAAAATGTGAAGGTCGTGTATTTATTTGCCAAGGTCTAAAGGTTGGGATTAAATGGCCAAACACGTAAAGGTCGTGTATTTTCCCGCCATTAAGCCTTTGATGAAGTGGAAATTAATTATAATATCAGATTATATGTTTTAATTTAATGGAGAGCCACGTCAGTTTTTACCTGCCAAATCAGCATCTGGCCGGCCAGCTCATCAAAGTGGCAGCCAGAAAATCCATCGGAGTTTTTATTTGCAACAAAATAAAAAGGTCAGGTATTTAATGGCAAACTTAAAAAATTTGAGCTTTATTTGCAATAAAGCTAAAGGTTGGAGTTCTGGGTACAATTAGGCCTTTTTAATATCTATATGCATAAAAAGAGAATAAGATTTATAAAGATTTTTCCGACAATTAATATACTAAATCTGAGATGAAAAATTTCATTTTATTTATTATATAATATTTCGGTTTGCATTAACTTTGATTTGTATATGTAAAATTGATAAATGAGGATATGGAATTTTTTTACAGTAATTTTTTTTTTTTAAAAAAAAAATTTGAAATTTTGTGTACTCAACTTTTAAATGAATTTATGTCGTCAAAAAAATCTAAGTTTTGAAATCTTTTGTACTCAGCTTGTAAACGAATTTATGTCATAATTCGTCATAATTATCTCGCATCATGTCAATATTTATTTTGTATATACTACGTAAATCATCATCTCAAGTATTTATTTGATATATTCTATGTTATCTATCTCAAACGTCTAGTATTTCATACTTTTCTATTGATAATCAAATATATCATAGCTTCACAAATTTTACTTCACAAAGAAAGCGTCCAATAATTTATAATTTTTTTTACCTTATTGGTGATCTATTTATTTTTGCTACATATATATCAAAATATATTAATTTTACTATTTAATAAAAATATATCATCCCGTGCATCGCACAGGCGACGCGCTAGTATTGAACAATTCAGACGTGAATCCCTGGTTGAAATTTGTTACCGCCGGAAATATGACAAAAATTTGGAGAACTTTGCGTACCCATTATCGAAGCGTAGGATTTTGCTCAGCAAGTGCGGGTTAATTAATGTTTGATGCGGCAGCTCCCTCTTCACTTGGAGTTAAGGACAGACTTTGACCGTTCCTTGGTTTCGGAGGCTTGGGTTTGCAGTTTTGATTGTCACGCACTTACCTCAATGCTTGTTATTGTTCAACTTTTATGGGTAATTAGTGCTCTGCTGCTAGCTTTTGTTTTCTCGTTGATATTATTTGTTATGTCTTTCAGGAAGACACGAGAAAAATGGTTTCATTGGCTTTTGGTGAAGACCAAAGCGGGGGACTTGGCAAAAGGTCGTTGAGGCACACTTTGTAAACTTTTCGGGTGGTGTTACTTGTAAAAAAGTCCGCCACAACCCGTTTGCAATTTTAACAGTTTTTTACTGGCAATTGACATAGCTCATAAAGGGAAAAAAATCCAAAGGCTTGTCGTACATATTCATGGTCATGTAAATTGCAGGGGTTGTAAATTTTAAGGATGGACTACATGTATACTTGTTTTTGGATTGTTCTTCTTTTTTTCCTCCAGCGCGGTACATACACGAACACTACATTTATACATGAACACGAACAGTACTTCATAAAATGTGAAACAACATCGAAAACAAAATCAATGTTTTGAGTTTCAATTTATTCAATTGTAGCTTCCATTGAGAATACAAATTAGGAAAAGCCTGCCCATCTGTCATGTGTCAGGTGTGGAGTTAGCTAGATACGTTAACAAGAAGTTTGTTTTTTTAAACCAGTTGAGATTATTATTTCAATATGTGAATCATGATATGCTCCCACTATTAAATTCGATCATCTCTGCACACGTATAATGTAATGAGTCAAGGGACAAAGTACATGGGGTTGGGGAGCTTAAAAGTGCGGTTTCCAGGAGCATCACCCATAAGATCACTCCACTGATCTCCTACATTGCCCACTATTCTGTATCCATCTTCCACTAACTGTCTCCTTATTGCTGATTTGAACGTTATTGCGCTTTGACCTTTGTACTTCTTATCCCTGCACACATATATACAATAATAGAATTGCCAAATGATCCTGATCATAATTGAGTAAGTGAGTAATTAAAAGATGGAGGAGCGTATATATACATATACCTTAGTACGAGCTTTTCGTAGCCGTAAAATCCTTGGTTATGCAGGTTTTGAATAGTGGCGTTTCGAAATGTGTCCTCAGACCTTCCGGTGACAAGGAAGAGCTTAAACCCTCTTCCAATCAATATATTGAACAAATTCCGAACATTAGTGATGACAGGGCATTCCGACTGCAATGCCCATTTCTGGAATGCGACCGGGTCATATGGCTGAACCCTAATACATACATATATAATTAACCAATCAATCAATTAATAATCAATCATCATGTTAGGTTTATATTAATTATATATATCAAGTACTGATTAATAAACAAATAGGTAGCGGACACAGTATAAATTAATTACTACATATACCCATAGTTCTTGAAATTTCGGTAGAAAGGGAGGTTGGAAATGCAGGTGTCGTCAACGTCTAGGACCCAAGCATCCAAACCATCTCCAGAGATATTAATGGTTTTGGCATATTTAATGATGCTCTGCACAGCTTCCCACACATCCGAGTTGTACTGCCCGCCTTCCATGTAGTACTTGACGTGTAGCAAACACTCCCAGGGCACGGTGGGCCACCCTCTTATATTGTTGGTCTCCACCCCCAACCGCCAGCTCAAGCACCAGTCCGCCGGAGCCAGTGCCGCCGGCGGCGACGGTGGCCAAGTCCACCTGGATGCCGCCGCTGGCCTGTAGCACCTTCCTCCCAACACCAACACCAACAACAAAACGCGCACGGTTATTGCCCTGCCGCCCAACATCTCTCCATTACTCCTTCCAAAAACCATCGATTATATATCTGAAAAGGGCTAACAAAAAAATAGAAATAAATAAATAAAATACAAAGTTATTAGTTTTACTAAGGAGCGGAATTGAGATGATTTTAAATATGCATCTCACCTTGTATATATTAAGTAATGAAGATTAACTATATATATGTATATAATCTAAAACATGCATGCAATTGCAATGCAGAGAGTAACTAATTAATATGTGAGTATAATAATGATATTATTATTCTTATTGTACTTATAGAGCTCGCACTCGCAGTAAGCAAATGAAATGGAGATGAAGAAGAAGGCAAGAGCGTGGGGGGCCCGGGCCAGGCCACCAATGTTTCTCCACTGCGCCTAAAAATGCGTGCCATTAGCTTTATTTAGTTTTAGTCAATGCACGCGGAGACAACAATATCTCTTTCTATATGCATACAATGATATATATTTACGACTTTAGTTAATGTCTATGACTCTCTATATATATTTTAAAGTTACATAATTTTGATTTTAAAGTTATATAATTTTGAAAAAATAAAACTATTCACCCAACGACCTAGCGATTTAAGAACTTTTGATACACAACAAACTCTCATATAGCGAGTATTGTACTCATAATGTGTTGTAAATTGTAATATGATATCAGACGTCCATGGGAATAAGAAAAAGACAGAACGAGACATGTAAAATACTCCAAAAATAATTTCTTTATTAATTCGTAGGAGTCGCAAATTTATATGTTTACAAATAGTTATAATTTACATTAATAATGCCCTAATTATTTTGATTCGAGTTCATCTCTATTATATATGCCTACATAAAATTAATGTCTCAGACTAATTAACCAAGATAATAAGATTAAAGAATAATAAAAACAAAGAAATAAATAATCACCCACATACGTAAAAACAGCATGATATATATAGGCCTGAATTGATCACCTTGGGCAAGTTAGTTAATAATATGCATACCAACAGGCAGAATTTCTGTGAGATCTTTACTACAATTGATGGCGGCTCTTCTTTTTTATAAGCTATATAATCAATACTTTTTACTATTACCTACCTACCTATTTAGCTAGCCACTCACTCCTTTTCCTCTCCTTTTTAATTCAACGCAATCAGTGACTACAGTGCAATCTGCAATCATCGAGTATTTTACGGTTGAAATGACATATATATACCCGCATGAATTTATATATATTGTCACACGAAAAAAAATCGTTATTGCATAAATTAAAATACACCTATCAATATCATTGCGTATTTGCATTTATATATAGCTGCAACATCTAATTAACTTCAAATTATGAAAAGACTGTAAAACGTATACATGAAGTTAATTTTTTCTTTTTCATTGATTTATCCTTTTCTTTTTTATTTACTAGAGATGTAAAAAGGTCGATGGCCACCAGCCATAACAATGCTTGCTGTAAAAGGTGGGTAATGTGTCACTGTGTTGTTTATAACCTTCCCTAAAATTGCGAGATTTGCTCAGTGCCAATTTTCAATTTTGATTGAGCTTTATTCATCAAATTTTAAAGGTAGTACCGGAATAGATTGTTTTTGCTTTTACAAGCATTCCTCAAAATTTTAAATTACTTTTTGAATAAATTAAAATAACTTCTTTACATTCCTCTAGTGAGGTATAATAACAGAACGGAAAATCACATTTAGAAGGTGTTTATAATTAATTGTATAATATCTATCTATCTATCTATATATATATATATATATATATATTTGAAGCTTTAATGAAAATATTAGAGTTAGCTTCAAAATTATATGAATCGCATGCATGACACAAGTTTGACAGTTCAATTTGGGTATTAGATGATTGGTTGGAATTTTATTATTGTGAAAGTTTAGATTGTACTTAATCTAGCTAAGTGCCCATTTCACATATACTTGACAGCAGCATGTCTATTTTGGTTGTTTGGAGCATATATTTAATCTTTGGATCTCAACAAATTTCAACCTAAATGTGAATTACAAATTTGATTGATTAAACTCGACCTAATCATTCATGAGTATAAATTTAGTTGATGTATATTTCAGTGTAATTTTAATATATATAATTAAGTTAGGACTTGTGAGAAAATGATATTAGTATGACATATTACCGAAGGCTGAGAAAAATAACGGCGATGCTTTTATTTTTTCTACTGTACTCTCAAATAATTCAATTTTCCACTTTTCATAACTATTAAAAAAAATCTACACTTTTCATAACTATTACAAGTGCGTAAAAAAAAAAAAGTGGGTGTTAGACTATTTTTGTGCATTTTTATTTTATTAACTCTTGGTCAATCAAATAAAATAGGGGCCCATAATAAAATGGGAAGAGAATAAGCTCAATATGAGTTGACTCATGACATTATTTTTTTAATGAACAAGTATGGCGCATATGATTTGTGAAGATAATAATACAATCACTAACAATTGCAGAACCTTGATAGCCATGTAAGTATTTATTAATATTAATCCCACTCAATGTAACTTTTTGCTGGTCCCAATTTGGGAGCGGATAATGATTAATGAGCAATAAAATCTCCAAATCAGAAACATTGTATACGAAATATTATCTATGAAGTCTTTTACGAAGTATGATCCCAGTATTTTGCCTTTTTGATTTATTTGTTTGTCGAGGTAAATTTAGATTTTGTCTTTGACTTTTTCCATGATATATTAAGATCTTTGGTTAAAAATCTGACAAAATTATTTAACTTATAATAACCTCTATGAAATATATGAGAATCGCGCTGTTAGTCTCTAGTTATTATGTGTGTAATGTGCATTGCATAGCGTTATTCTATCATTCTTTCGTGGGGGAAATGTTATAGTTTCGTTACAGAACCATCTCGTCGAGTGTTTTAACCGTTGAATACACATGTAGTTAATATAAAATAGACGATCTAACGGTTAAAACACCCGACGATATGCAGATTCCATAACGAGACCATAACATTTCTCCATTATTTATTAAGTATAAAAAAAAAAAAAGAATGAAGTGATTATTAGGTATGACAACCCACCAACTATTTCAACGTCAACCAAATAAAAGTGGAATGACGGCACTCCCCTTACCATATCGTGTAACGAATGACTAAGTTCCTGTGGCAGTCAAGAATGGGCCTCAGTTGTGCTCTTATCCAGTATAAATTGGGCTAGTCATTCTAGTATAATAGGCCTCTTTTCCAGTATAAATTCGCCTATAGATATTGTAGAATAATTGGGCCGTAGACTTTAGTCCCAAAAAATGAAGGCGACAACCAGTGCATATTAGTTCTGTCTTCGACAAGGCGCCAAGGAGAAACTATGCACACAATACAAGAGCTCGAGCCAAGTCAAAAAGCAAAAGCGAAGATGGCAGCGTCCATAAGGACCATAACCGCCGTCTCCGAGCCACCACCGTGCCTCCCCGGAAGAGGTAAATCGGATTACACAGTCTCTCACGTCGGTGGTTGCTCAGTTGGTAGAGATTTTCCGGCCGGTCGAATTTCTATGTCCGGATTCTCAGGCCCTTCGCTCCGTCCGCGTGCTACATCCCTACTCCAATGCCCTAGCTGATGTGTTTCCGCAAAAAAGGTAAAGACCCCTCAATTGTTTATTTTCTTCGTGCTTCCGATTATTGATAAGAGTTGGAATGTAGCTATCCTTTTAGTTTTAAGTTTGCTCGTTTTTACTTGATGATATATTAGGAATTTATTAGACTCGACAGTGGTTGAATAATTTGCTAAATCAGGGAGACATTTGTGTATTTTATGTTCTGGGGTTTTGAAAAGGGGTTTCAGTTTGGTGGTTCAATTGGCTTGCAGTGCAGTCGTGCTTGCTGTGTTATGTGTTATATTCGAGCTGGCTCTTTGGTGTAGACTGTAGTGGATAATACTTTAATCAATAGTATCCAAGACCTTACAGGCGACCTTCCCATTTGGTTAATATTGTCATCTTGAAAGTTATGCAATTCTGCTTCAGCATTTTAAATTACACCACATTCGTAATGTGCATTGAGCCATTGACCACTGTAGGGTGAATGGAATAACTCTTACAATTCCAGATATTGCACTCTGTTTCTGAGGAATTAATACATACGAACGTTGTGTCTATTGCTCCATTATTCATCTTGTGAAGCAAAATCCCTTTACAAACAAGTTTTAGTTGGATTGGCACTTGAAATCTACCCAACTCCTACAGTCCGGTTATGCTGCACTATCTTTTAAATCTATGAGCTCTTGCCTGATGCCCTAACAGGAGCTAATAGATTGGTTCAAAGAACTCTAATGGAACCTTTAAATAAGGTGCGGTCTCTAATCACTAAAATTTTAAGATTTGAAGTAGCAAAGTTTCAGTGACATGGGCCTTATATTTCAGTGAGGTTACATACAGTGGGATTGATCAATTGATTATATTTCCATATTATTTCGTGATATGTGTTTTCGTTTATGCGTTGGCAGATTTATGGATTTGATCAGAATGTGAATGTTAAGGTCATCATGGCCTCTAATCATCCAGATACTTTGGATCCTGTTCTTCGTCATCCTGGTAGGCTCGATCTATAAATTAAATTTCCTTTGCCCGATAGGTAGCAGAAGAGGCTTGTTATTTCAGGTTAGGTTTTACATTAATTATGCCTTTAAGCAATCATCTGCACTTTTAATTGATGAAAATTGAATCTCCCCTATTAGCTTGCCTTGATTATACTGTAAGTGTGCTCCACTAACTAATTGCTGCTTGTTTTCAAGCAGGTACATACTGACAAGATGAACTTAAGTGATGAAGTTCTCTTAGGGCATGCTTGTTTACCAAATAATTTACTCACATTTAATTCATACTCAAAATCCAACCCAACTTTAACTCAATCCCATTATCTTTAATATTATTCATATAATTTAAATAATACAAACCAATCATTCTCACACATCACATCATCTTTAATTCACTATTCATCCACTCACATAATTTTAACTACCTATCATTTTCAATCATTTATCTCCTACTTTTACATTAAATCAATATTAATCATTTTATTTGGAGTATTTTTTTATGTCACTCAACCCGGTTAAAGAAGTGCTGCTGAGGTATTTTTTTGGATTTGGAGTAATTTTCTCCTCCATATGTAGTCCCTCCAGAAATTTAGCCCGACATTCGACATAAAATGGGAGCAGTCTAATCTCTGGTTTTTAGTGCATCTACTTTCATGGTTATGCATGTTGAAGCTCTTAACATACTTTCAATGTGATTTTGGCAAGTCCATATGGAGAAAAGAAACAAACCGAAAACTGAAAGCAGTAGTTTGTTCATTTATATTGTAATTTGTGTCCAGTTTTAAACTTGCAAATTGAAAATATAGAAGAGCTTGTAAATAAGCTGAAAGTCGGGTGATGGTTGCAGATTGCTGCTATGTCAGGAGGCAGGTCTACAAGCTGTACGGAAGAATCGTTATGTTATACTAGCAAAGGACTTTGACATGGGACATAGAAGCAATGTCAAGAAGCCTGATTTTGAATTTTACAAGTAAGCTTACTTTCATATGTATCAAGGACAATGTTAGTTGATTCATATGGATTTTGCAATACATCTAATTGCCACCTGACTTATTCAATGTGCCACACACACACACACACACACACACAGCTTAATTCACTTTCTTAGAATTACTTCCCCTGTATCACTTTTGTTTTACATCTGTGTGTGAATATATCATATTCATGTGATCCAATCATAAAATTTTCATATGAGGTTAGGATTGAAGTTTGTATCTTTACTTGAAAGCAGAAACTTGTTGATTGGGGCTCAGTTGCTCTGCAGATTCTTTGGAGTGGGCCTTCCTTTCCCCAATGTGATTAAAATTTTTTATAATCTTGTTGTCCCTTCAATAATGGGGGGTGAGCCGCACATGCTTTCTCAAGCCTGGGCCCCACAACACAAGTCTGAGGGTCCTTTACCTGTGCATCTGAATTCTCATTTCTCATCTAACCTCTGCCTTTTTTTATTCTTTAATAATATTATATAGTTTTTGGATTCTTTGAATTATTTATATATTCCCTTTTTTTTTATCACAAAAAAATCGACACTACACATGTTTACATGTCCTGATACGAAAAGAATCACATAAGGAGGAGAGCTTTTTTATTCTTTAATAATATTATATAGTTTTTGGATTCTTTGAATTATTTATATATTCCTTTTTTTTTTATCACAAAAAAACCGACACTACACATGTTTACATGTCCTGATACGAAACCAAGAATCACATAAGGAGGAGAGTTATAAGTTAACCCATGCCTATAATATTGCTGTCATATTCTTGACTTATTATTATTATTGTTATTATTATGCCTATAATATTGCTATCATATTCTTGACTTATTATTATTGTTTCGATTTACCGACGTGAGAGACTGTGTAATCATTTTATAAATGCAACTAGCTTTATTATTGTTTCGTTTTACCATATCTTTTCGTGAAGATTTAACAAAGCTAGTTGCATTTATAAAATGATTTGGATATCAACAGACAATTTATAATTGAGTTTTCAAAATCGTGTACTATTAACAAATAATATATTATTATTATTATTTTTTTAAATGCACAACTATTGAGACTGAGAATTTGAAAATTGTTTTACCTTTCAAAATCGAGTTTAGAAAAAACAATAGATTGATACAAAAATAATTGATAAACATTACTAAGTTTATTATCACGCGTTCCAAATAAATAAATTGTGATGATTTGTGAAAAATGATATTTAAATAATAGCGTTCAATATTTTTTTTTTTTTTTTTNGATTTTAATGTTGTTCGTTGTTTCTAAGAAAAAAAAAATAAAAATGAAAACATACACACTTAGTAGATCTTAGCCGCAATTTTTAAATAATAAAATAAATTGAAGCTCGAAATTTAAGGCAACATTTAATGATGTATGATTTTTTAAAGATAAAAATAAGAAATAATAAAACTTACTATTTATGGATTGTATTAAATTCTATCCTTATTTTTTGCTACTAGTTTTGGTAAATGACTATTTTTAGTATATAGATATAGATGTAGATATAGATATTATTATTATTATTATTATTATTTTTTTGGCACCCTATATCAGTCCAAGAAGGAATACTTGGGCATGGACCAAAAATGTAGATATGCATGCTATTGTGGCCCCCGCATCTTTTAAACACTTGTGTGTGAAATAAGGCCTGGCCCATTTTTGCAGTTCTTTGCACCAAGTCACTTTTAAGTTTTAACCAGTAGAAGGTGTCTCCAATTTACAACCGAACTAACCTACTCTCTATTTCCCATAATGTGCTAGAGAGGTGTAGCTTCACTTGTTTTTATGATAACATTTAATTTGTGTTGTATGGTATTATGGAAGTTTGACCTACCCCAACCTTAATTTCTTACCCGCCACAACCGGTCTTTTATTAATTAGTAGTATTAATATTCTGGTCCAGCCCAGGCCACGCTCATTTCTCTTTGACTTTCATAACAGATTTCATTTAAATGTCTGCATTTACTTTAACTCATGCACTTAATTTACAACCGCTGAGATGACTTTATTGCTACTACTTTTTTTTTTTTTTCCTNTCTATGCATAATATTTTTCCATTTAATGTCAGTATGCATCATGAGTGGTTGACTTACTTTACTAACATAAAGATGTGATATCAAGGCAAGTTGAATCCTCATCCAGTTTGTTTTTGGATCACACACACAACCACATGGAAGTGTGCAGATCTATCGATAAGAAACAATAGGCATGATTGGTTATAATTGTTTTACTCATTTTTTTCAAATAATTTCTTTAACTCAAATTTAATTTAACCCAACTCTTCTCTATATTATCCCTATAATCAAATAATATCAATCAATCATTGTTAGACACCACATCAATTTTAGTAATTTACTTTTCATTCATTTACATAATTTTAACTAACCAATGTTCAAATTATCCATCTTCTATTTTTACATTAAATCAATTTAAATTATTTTAATACAAATTCAAAATTTTCCTCAAACTTAATTCAATTAATTTCTTAAAAATTAATATTAGTTATCCAACAAATTTCAAGTTAATTTAACTTATATCCAATCATTCTAGTGATAATATTTTATTCGTACGTAGGAACACTTTTTATGTGATATCAAAATTGGTACGACCAAATTTTTTATTCCTCTCGAGTTCCCAACCAGCCTTCACTTTCAGGCTTTGGTTTTCTCTACCTAAAAATCTTGGAAATTGTTCAAATCATTTATACTAGTAGTTACAATAAGTGGATAATGAATTAATAGCGACAAGGACATTGTCATTTTCACTAATTTAGAAATAAATTACTATGATTTAATCATATGTGTGGTAAATAAAAGGTGCAGCGTTGATTATGAGGTAGGGGAAATAAGTGAATGGATGAGGATGAACAAGTGAGAAGAATGATTGGCACTGATCTATATATATAAATTGACAATGATTTGGTAACCTACACAACTTAATAGTCTCAAAACATGGTTTGCTTAATTGATTTGAAACGACATCCAGCATATGTACACCACTAATCTAACTGTGTTTTGAATAGGCTACATTTTGGTACTACTTGACAATCCCTTTTAATGATTTTTAATTTTATTTATTATCGTAAGATTTTAACCTCAATTGAAGAAAATTATGCCCGTTAAAATTAACACTCACTTCAATAATCAATCAAATTGTAAGTTGTTTACCATCGGCGATTTTCAAATTCTTGTATGAGGTGTTTATGCTATGAAATGTCATATATTTATTCACGTAGTTCATGAAAAAGATTCCCCTAAACAAAAGTACGCATTCCGAAGTTGATTTTACCACGGTCATTATTTTGCGAATATAAAAAAAATGGAATGTTGATTTTACCACGGTCATTATTTTGCGAATATAAAAAAAATGTTTTTGGCTGAAATTGATTTTAGAAATAATGTGCTTGTCACTCAAATCTAATGCTTGTGCATCAGATTTACAATTCCACATTTCCACTCTTTCACCATCTCTACTCATAGCTAATTTGTCCTCTTGTTTTTCAACTGCAATAATAAAATTTAGAGCGAAGCATCTCCAATGTGGCTTTTGACTTCATAAAAATTCATCTATATCATCAATTTTTGAAAGTGTATTACTAATTTATTCTCCAATGCATCTTGTCATGAACTCTTTCATGATGAGGTAGATAGCATTTAATGTTGACAATGTTGAACACACTTTCTAATATCTAACACCATGTTAAACATGATGACTAATCAATTCACTTTATATTTGATTTAATTTTTTATTATTCTTGTATTAATGATTATTTTAATTGGTCCACATGTACAAATAACTTCTTATCAAATTGATGCATTGGGGATACTAGTTTGATTCAAATTTCTACTCTTTTAACATTATTCATACATGGATTAACATTACAATTATTGTTTGACATGTATTAAAAATCATTGTCTTTCAAAGTTATAACATTGGAGATGCTCAGTGTCGTTGACACATCGAAAGTTTCTTCTT